TGGTAGAGCTCTAACCTTGAGCTGAAGAGCTGAGGGACAGCGCCCAGGCTCAGAGTTTAGGCCCCACGACTGGACCCCCCCCCAAAAAAGATCTGCTCTGAGTAGAATTCATGCCAAGGGCAAGGGTAGCACCCACCAACAAAGATGGTCTTCTCAGTCTCTTGAGTTTGTCACTCACAGACAGCACCCCAGGATACCAAGGAGTAGAGTCTGGGGTTTTGGAGGGCCCACAACTAATCACATCCACATTTGTTAATCAAATTCCTATGAAACTGTATGTTATAAGCTACTCACAGGTTAAAAAATAAAAGCATACATCACTCCAGGTTGGCATTGGCTGAAATGCCTTCCCAGCCTAACTCTGAACCATTGAAACATAGTTTTTGAACTTGCATGTACAAGTTGAAGTTTTTGTAGAGCTGCCAAATCTGTAATACAACAATACTTAGCATAAAGCTTGTGCAATTAAGCAACCCAGAAAGAAGTGAATTTGAATTTTTGGCAGAATGTCCCTGAGAGAGAAGGGAGGGGGAAGGATGAAGAGAAGGAAGGAAGGAGAAAGGCAGGAGAGGGAAGTAGAGAGAGAGGGAGAGAGAGAGAAGGAGGGAGATGGAGAAGCTTATCACTTGTCAGTTCAGATTTCTACTCAGAGATTTTAAAGAGATGTCAAGATGACTTCACCTCATGCTAATAATTGTTTCTAGGGAGAGACTTTTTCAGCCACTAGTTTTCAAAACGAATAAATCAACAAGTTTTACTGACCAGTACTCCTCTGCTTCCTATGAATACTTTGCCTTTTTCCCTGCCAGTTGTAGGGCTTGAGCTCCGAGCTGGGTGCTGTCCCTGAGCTATTTCACTCAAGGCTAGCACTCTACCACTTTGAGCCATAGCATCCCATTTTCTGGTGGTTATTTGGAGATAAAAGTCTCACAGACTTTCTTGCCCAGGCTGGCTTTGAACTGAAATCCTCAGATCTCAGACTCCTGAGTAGCTAGGATTGGAGGTGTGAGCCACCAGTATCTGCCCAACATTTTGCATTTTGACAGTAAGAATTAGTCTGACTTCAAATATTTTCTTCCTGACAATAAGATTAAGATCTAAAAACAATTCAAGCAAGAGAAATCATTTCAGAAAACAAAATCAGGGATATCAAGTAACAGATGATGTGAGTCAGTACCCAAAGTGACTGGATTTTGATGAGGGCAAGATGGTATGTTATTACAGGTTTGAAAGACTACAGCTAAGAATTACGTGGACTAATGAGAGTACTTAGGAGACTAGAAATAAACATTTGCATACTAATTAAGAGCTATCAAGGCAAGCTTTACAAGCCCATCTCCTTTCAATCAATAACTTCTCAAGCTAAGACTACAAGACACATTTATGGACTGCTACACTCATAACTGGAGTTCTCAGGAGTCTTCAACTATTTTCTATCAAGAATTATTCAGGAAAAGAGAGAAGAAATGGAGAAGAGAGGAAAGAGGGGGAAGTAGTCTTTACTCCATGATTTTTGCTCTTAAGCAAAACCATCATTCAGAGAAGGCGACTTCTCTGTGAGGAGCAGCTGCTGCGCTGCTGTGTCCAAATAATTGGCAATTCTCGGCCTCTTCGTCATCAGTAACAGGCCAGAATGCAGATCTTCATGAAGACCCTGACCGGCAAGACCATTATCCTGGAGGTGGAGCCCATTGATACCATTGAGAAAGTGAAGGCCAAGATCCAGGATAAAGAGGGCATTCCTCCTGACCAGCAGAGGCTGATCTTCGCAGGCAAGCAGGTGGAAGATGGCCACACTCTTTCTGACTACAACATCCAGAAAGAGTCTACCCTTCGTCTGGTTCTCCGTCTCAGGGGCGGCTATTAGTTTTAGTCTACCCTCCCAGTGCCCAAAGATGGCATTACTCAGCACTATAGCCGTTTGCCCCAATTTAAGTTTAGAAATTAACCAGTTTTAGTATTAGCTGAACCTGTTCAAAATGTTAATAAAGGTTTTGTTGCATGATAGCAAAAAAAAAAAACCAAAAAACATCATTCAGTGTTCTAAAACACTATTTTCCAAAACTAATTGCTGATTTATTCACTCCATACTACTAATTGTTTTTCACATTCAACCTGGGTTTTGAGATATAAATAACAAACCAAACACCATGAATCCTGAGCACACTTTCTTTGTGCTGGATTCTGGGAAAATTGTGATTTCTTAATCAGGAATGCATACTTCTTGTTGTTAAGGCCTTTGGATACAGTTGGATAAAAAATATGGATTGTAAAATCCATATTTTATAATTAATAAAGATGTAATGAAATTTGGGGAAAAAATCTTCCAAGATTTTGCTTGAATACAAGTTTCATTGAAGATGAACATGAATGTTCTTTGCTGCTGTCACAAGTCTTTTCTCTGATTCCTTAATTCTGATGTCAGGGTGGCAGCAGCATGGGGTAGGAAGGAGTTTGGATCTGAGGTCTTTACCAACTTTAGGGCAGAGAAAAGAGAGGGGAAGTAAGCAAGAATCATAGAAACATCCCATAATTTCAGCTCCAGGAAAACAAGTCAGATAACACAGGCTGACGTCAGTACATGTTAGGCAGTATATAAAGCATATTGATTTTCATCCTACAATATATGTGCTCCCAAACACCACAGTGTACTCAATAAATATATGCAATATTATAATCAATTTTTTTAACTTAGAAAAAGAATAGTGATTTTGTTTATTCTAATTGTACCTATAGTACAACATCTACAAAAGGTACAGAAATATGAGTCTTTTCAAAGATGACATGAAAGGATGACATAAGTCTTATTTCTTAGGAAAAAAATACATTGTATTATTTGTCTCATTTATCCACTTCATTTGCCTAAATCTGTCTTTTTGTCACTTCTCTCCAGCTATCCTATTAGCTACCCAAGCTACCCGGCCCCCAGACTGCACTAGATCCAGCTGGTCTGATTTCTGAATTGCATGCCCCGTTCTCTGTGCCATAGCACCCATCCACTCTCCGAGTACTGCCAGGACGACCTCTTCAGCCATCTCTATCTTCAGCTTTGCTGAATTATGAGCTGAAATTCCCAGAACAGGTGAGTCCTCTCCTTATCACGTTACAGGTTTCTTCTGCCTAGACAACACAGGCATGTGCATGCATGTGCTGTCTGTCTGCCTGTCTGTCTGTCTGCCTGCCACCCCCCCCCTTTCTCTGACCAAACACATGCAGATTAATTGACTGAAAAGCAAGAGGTTTCCATCAGGAAAGTGCCCACATAGCACTTTTCTCATGAAGCCTTCCTTGACCAGGCCTTCTATGAACTTCCTTCACACTTTCCATGTACCCTTAGCACAGCATCTCCCAACTGAACCCCAAACCTATAAAGCCTTTTGTTGGAATGCTAGGGATACAGAACTCAAAGAGACAGTCCCTGTTCTTAAGTAACTCACAGTAAAACATGTATTATGACACCTCAGGGTAGAATAGAAAGCATCCAACTGGACTAGAGAACTTTGAAGAGGAAGAAAATAAAAGAATCTGTGCAGTGGGAGCCAGTGAGAGGAAATGGGGATGTGGCCAAATCATAGTCTTGAGATGGGAGCAGGAATTAACCAGATAGAGAATGTGTGTGTGTGTGTGTGTGTGTGTGTGTGTGTGTGTGTGTGAGTGTGTGTTAGAGAAAGAGAAAGAGAGAATCATATGTATGCCTGTCTAGGCAAAAAGAACCAAGTAACATGATAAGGAGAGGCGGCCTGTTGTGGGAATTCCAGTCTATAATTTGGTAAGGCCAATGCTAGGAGTGGGGCGGGATGAAGCTAGAGAGGTATGGATAAAGATCAGGATTTGGGTTTTTCAAGAAGTCTGGAAGTACTGGAAGATTTAAAGATGGCTAAAGGGGCTGGGAAGGTGGCTCAGTGGTAGAGTGCTTGCCTTGCATGCCTGAGGCCCTGGGTTCGATTCCTCAGCACCACATAAGCAAAAAGAAAAAAAGCCGGAAGTGGTGCTGTGGCTCAAGTGGTAGAGCGCTAGCCTTGAGCTGAAGAGCTGAGGGACAGCGCCCAGGCCCAGAGTTCAGGCCCCACGACTGGACCCCCCCCAAAAAAATAAAGATGGCTAAAGAGGTCATCCTGGCAGCACTTAGAGAATGGATGGGTATGAGAATGGATGGGACGGCATAGGGAACATGGAATATTGTCTATACATTTAGTTAAACTAACTCTGTGAAAAATTTTCCCCAATTGTGTTACCTGACCATAGAATACAGACCCTTGTCAGATGAATAGATATGATTGGCAAGTTTTGTTGTTGTATTTTTGTTTGTTTATTTTGTTGGTCATGGGGCTTGAAATCTGGGCCTGGGCGCTGTCCCTCAGCTCTTCAGCTCAAAGCTAGCACTCTACCACTTGAGCCATAGCACTACTTCCGGTTTTCTGGTGGTTAATTGGCAATAAGAATCTCATAGACTTTCCTGCCCAGGCTGGCTTGGAACTATGATCCTCAGATCTCAGCCTCCTAAGTTGCTAGGATTACAGGCATGAGCCACCAGCACCCGGCTATGATTGGCAAGTTTTAAACAACTACCTAAGAGTTGTATATAAAGTACCAAAGCTTGAGATTGTTCCATTCTTGGATATGAAGAAGACAGTACTATGTAAAATAACAGTTAAGAGAATAGACATTAAATTAAACACAACTGGTTGTGCATTCTAACTCTGCCCTCTGACAAACTCTATGATAATTCCACTGAATGTTTTCTCATGACATCTACTCATGAAATATGATGCTGCATATAAAGTGACTGACAGAACCCGGAAAACTCATCCCAGTGGTAAAATTCATAGTGACATTTCTGAGGCTTACCTCAAAACCACAGATGGAGATCTGTGGACAGAGCACTGCAAAACAAGATGCTTGATGACAGGATTTTCTCATCTCTTTCAGGGCACTAAATATTCCTACACTGTTCTCCACTGTACTACAATGGTGCTCTATGAGTTGGTTCAAGGTGTTTCACAGGTTAAGCCAATTAAAATAATCATTTTCAAAACTAAGATGTGTGTGTGTGTGTGTGTGTGTGTGTGTGTGTGTGTGTGTGTGTGTGTAGAATGCTTCCAGCAGTACATGATCTACTATTGTCAATATCCCATTGTCTGAAGCTTTGGAGCTTAAGGTTTTACTGCAAGCCAAATGTGGTAGTGTATTCTTGTAATCTCAGCTACTTGGGAAGCCGAGATTGGGATCACAGTTACAAGGGAAGCCTAGGAACAAAGTGAGACTTCATTGAAGTATGGTGATGATGGTTCTCCCCTATCATCATAGCTATTCTGGAGGCAGGTAGAAGGATTGCAGTTCAGTCCCAGGCAGAACGTTAGCCTAGAAAGTGTGATGCTCTGGGGCGCTAGTGGCTCATGCCTGTAATCCTAGCTACTCAGGAGGCTGAGATCTGAGGATCACGGTTCAAATCCAGCCCGGGCAGGAAAGACCATGAAATTCCTATCTCCAATAAACCACCAGAAAACCGGAAGTGGTGCTGTGGCTCAAGTGGTAGAGTGCTCGCCTTGAGCTGAAGAGCTGAGGGACAGCGCTCAGGCCCAGAGTTCAAGCCCCACGACCAACAAAAAGAAAGAAGAAGAAAGTGTGATGCTCTGAGCCCAATCCCTATTACCACTAAGAAAAGGAGAGAAGGAGGGAGGGTGGGTGGGAGGGAGAGAGGGAGGGGAAGCAGGAAGAGAGAGAGGGAAGGGAGAGAGGGAAGGGAGGGAGGGAAGGGAGGGAGGAAGGAAGGAAGGAAGGAAGGAAGGAAGGAAGAAAGGAAGGAAAGAAAACCTTACAACATCCGTAGAGAGCATAACTGTCTCTCCCTCTCATTTTAGGAAAACATTTCTTTTCAAATGTAGATTTTAAACCCCTCCAGTCTCAGGTCTCAGCCTCCTGAGTATGGCATTATAAATGTGAGCCACTGATGTCTGACTGTTGTGTGGATTTTTGACAGCTGTATAGTGGTAAGTACCCACCTTTATTCAACTGTTCACTTTGTACTTGAATAGATAGCTTTAAGTTGTCTTTGGTTTCTTAGCTTCATAGAATTTAGTTATTTTTTTTGGGGGGGGGTCTGGTCGTGGAGCCTGAACTCTGGGCCTGGGCACTGTCCCTCAGCTCTTCAGCTCAAGGCTAGCGCTCTACCCCTTGAGCCACAGCGCCATTTCCGGCTTTTTTCTTTTTGCTTATGTGGTGCTGAGCAATGGAATCCAGGGCCTCAGGCATGCAAGGCAAGCGCTCTACCACTGAGCCACCTTCCCAGCCCTTCATAGAGTTTCTATAACATAGAGTTTCTATTTTTTGTCCCATTGCTAATTGATTTTGTGTTCTCTATAACTCCAGCTATTTCCTGGAGAGGATACAAGTTCTTCTTATGACAGGAACCAATGGCATAGATTAAGGATCACTAAAATAAAAATTTAGGACCAAATAATTGGGTAATGATTGGCTCCCTGGCCTAAATTTTCAGGGCTAGCCTACCTCCACTAGTCTCTGGCTATTGGAGATGTGTCAGGATTCCAGTGAAAGATCCTCTTGTGATGTCCTGCCATGCACCCTTCTACACTCATGCACCACACAGACGATTTCTGAGTCACACAGTGATTCAACCCAGGACTCAGGACAGTATGTGCTAGTTCCTGCCCTTGGTGCAGTCCATGTGGAGAGGATCCATATGGCAGGTTCTTCCCTTACTCCTTCCTGTGTTCCTCAGGGAAGTGTCTCAGAAATGACTAATACCGGATGGGAAAGGACGGCAGCTGCTCTCCAGGGCTGGCTCATGAAGACAGCAGGTAGCGAGTGGTCACATTTCACAAGTATGCAAGACTAAAGGGAAGAGTC